TGTTTAAAACATGAACTCTCTCCTACTGTATTTCAGTCTTACTTTAGTGAAATCTCGCACAAGTATCCTACTAAATTTTATATATATATATATATATATATATATATATATATATATATATATATATATATATATATATATATATATATATATATATATATATATATATATATATATATATATATATATATATATATATATATATATATATATATATGTATATGTATATATATATGTATATATATATATATATATATATATATATATATATATATATATATATATATATATATATATATATATATATATATATATATATATATATATATATATATATATATATATATTTATATTTATATATATGGTGTTTCAATTAAAAAAGTTCCAATATCAGTAAAAATAAATTTAAAAAAAAAAATACTCACATATATAAATATAAGCATATATACACTTACAGATATATAGATGTGCACATATATAAATTTCTAGCAATTAAACATAAGCTAGGATCTGAAAGAAAATCACAAGATTTTGTCGTCAGAACCTTATAAAATACAAGCAAGCAAAATAAAGACAAGTATAACATACAAAAAATAAAGTAAAATAAATAAATAAAAAATACAATTTTCATAATATTAGAAGTATCTATTATATTATCAAGTGAAAAAATACATTTTTTAAGATAGAGCTTGAAAAGATAAAAGCAAGTTGGTTGATCGAGATTTCGCAGAACAATATTATTCCATAAGTGGGATCCACGTCATATTGTATTTATTCTTAGGTTTGGGTTAAAAAATATTATTAAAAGCGGTAGGGAATAAATTATTTCTCCAAAAATATACAAAACATAAAATTTTAAATACATTGAGCAATGTTAGCATAATTTAAGTAACTGCGGAAAAAAGAGTAATAAAGTCAGCTTAAGCAATTTTTATTAAGGTAGTTACGAGCTTTATATAGAATCCGAATTTTTTTTGAAATTTTAGTAGTAACATAATTAACGTGTTGATTCCAAGAGATATTTTCATCGAGATAAACGCCTCATAATTTTGTAACGGAATCATTTTTTATTTTAATTTCGTCTATATAAAGTTGTGGCAAGTTTTTTGGTAATAATCGCTTTTTTGCATACGAATGGAATAGAGCCCATTTGGTTTTAAATTAAAGTTAAATTATTACGTTTAAACCAGTTTGATATATGTTTTAGTTCTTTATTCATAGTGGTAAAGAGTTCATACATATTACTGCTTGAGAAGAATAGGTTGGTATCATCTGCTTGAGAAGAATAGGTTGGTATCATCTGCTTGAGAAGAATAGGTTGGTATCATCTGCTTGAGAAGAATAGGTTGGTACATCTGCTTGAGAAGAATAGGTTGGTATCATCTGCTTGAGAAGAATAGGTTGGTATCATCTGCTTGAGAAGAATAGGTTGGTATCATCTGCTTGAGAAGAATAGGTTGGTATCATCTGCTTGAGAAGAATAGGTTGGTATCATCTGCTTGAGAAGAATAGGTTGGTATCATCTGCTTGAGAAGAATAGGTTGGTACATCTGCGTACATGATATTTATAAGGTTGGAAACTTTATTGTATATATCACAGGTTTTAATAAGTTTTTGAAGGCCAGAGTTGGAACTGAAGTATAATGTCATTACCATATGCTACAACACCTGTGTAGTTTCCATTTATTGGGTCTGCGATTTCTTTTAATTGTAAGGTTTGTAGTAAGTGGAGGACTGTCAAATTTTATGATACTGATAAATTCCAAATATTTATCATAGCTAAATCTTCAATAAAATATTTATTAGCTAATCTTTTGGTAATTAATGAATTTTTTTCGGACTGGATATAATGTTTTTACAACTACATATGGTGTAGGTATGCTCGCCACACAGCAGTAGCTGCTCGTAAGCTAAAGGATACCCAACGAGGTCTAAAAACGCGACTAATATTTATTATTTCTACGTTCAAATCACTAGAAATATTTTTCAATTCTGTTTGATTTTTATTTGGCTGATAGTATTTTGCATTTATTTTGTCTAAATATATTTTAAAATGGCTTGTTTCAAACAATGCCACACGGCTATATTGGGACACATTTGTGCACACTCCAGATTTTCTTCCTAACATTCTCGATCACCATCTGAACATAAAAATCTGAACATCTGAATATCGATCACCATCAGAACATAAAAATATGTTCGGCAGTTGTAAGTTTTTTATATATATATTTTTGAGTTATTTAGGTGCTCAAAAAAGATAGGAGAGCGCCGCGGTGCTCTTTGATAAGTCCTTACGGACTTATCAAAGAGCGGTTAGTAGCATTTCACCAGGAAGTTCACGCCTCTTCCTTACCAATGATGCATGTATGACTAGAGCCGGCTTCAAATCTCGGACCTCCAGTTCTGAAGCCAGAACTCTAATATGCAGCTGCTGCTCTAATACGCAGCTGCTTAAAATATTACCAAATTACTTTTATTAGCAAGTGCTTCGTCAATTATAATAAAAAATGATTAGAAATCGTATGAACAAAAACAGCACCTGCAAAAGTTTTCTTGTGTGATGTTTTAGAATTCTTTACAGATATTGATTGCAGGCTTCAACAAAAAACAATTTGTTTTTTGTGTAAAATCACTCACAGACCCTTTTGTTTACTCAAGTGAGGTGTGAAAGGGCCTTTAAAAAACTGAAAATTAAAAAAAACTAGGCATTATTTGATGATGATCCTGAAAAAGTTGTGTTACTTATGTTAAAAAGGATTTACTTTTGTAAGTATTTACTGTTTGCCGATGTCATTGTTGACAATATTTTATTCCAAGACTTCAGTTTTCTGAACGCTGTTGGCAAAACACATCTTTCGTTTATTGGTTCACAGTTTTTTTACAAGTTTGTTTGTCATTTGAGATGTAATATTAAAAATTTATATAATAAAGCAGTTGTGGCGCAGTGGTTGCGCACTTGCCTCAGTAGCAAAGGATCTGTGATTCGAATCCCATCTCTGGGCAAGTTTTGCGACACCGGTTTGGAAGGAGGCGTGAACTTCCAATTAAATGTTCTTCCGCGGTGCTCTGTGATAAGATCGTAAAACCTTCTTGGGGCACCTAAATAAAATAAAATTAAATTTAAAAAAGTATATATTCTGTAATTATAGGCTCTACTACCAACATCGTGTCTAAACTACGTTTAGGCACAATGCTTCATACTGTTTAACCTACAAAATCGCCCAAATTATTTTCTCATATTTTTTGTCAAATATTACGTTTTACAAAAACAAACAATCAAGGCTTCTAAAAGAAAATTATAATGATCCTTTCACAAGTTTAAAAATTAAAATAAATCGTACTATAAAACTGAAGGTATAACTCTAAAGAAAAACCGTAATATTAATGAATTTCAAAAGCTGTGGCTCAGGAATTGAAATTTGGACCCAGAACCAATTGATCCAAGTTTCGATCGAAGTTGCGACATGAGTAAAGAAGGAGGCGTGAATTTCCAAGTTTAATGTTCTTTTCCAGCTCTCTGTAATAAAAAAAGGCAAACGTAATAAAACTAATGTATTCTACTAAAAATTATTTATTTTAAATTCCGGTATATAATTACGGCATACAACATTTTAAATTCCGGCATTTAAAATCCGGCATATAGTAGGACGAAAAATTGTACATTCTTTTAAAGCCGTCAAAGATGGTTTTAAGTCATCAAAGTTTTTCTAAAATTATTATTTCGATGTTAGCAAGTAATTTCTAATATCAACGTTAGCAAGTAATTTCTGATATCGACGTTAGCAAGTAATTTTTAATATCGATGTTAGCAAGTAATTTCTCATATCGAATTTAGCAAGTAATTTCTAATATCAAGAAATTCATTACTTATATGCACGAAGAGGAATAGGCTAAAGACTTTTTAATAATTTTTCACTTAAGAATAGTAAACAGAGAATGTCTGCATTGTTATTTTAACAATTTTAGTGGAATATGTTTTTTCTTTTATTGAAAGATTTAATGTAACATTTTACATTTTAGTCATTAACTGTGTATTAAAAATTCTTGAGATATTTATGTTAAACGATGACATAAAGTTTCTTAGATAAGAAACTTTACCTAAATATTACAGTATAGCAATGCCGTGTTTAGTGGGTTAAAAAGCTCCATAAATTTCCAAAAAAGGCCACTAATTTAATCCCTCTCCTCCAATTGAGGGTATAAGGTAGCCTAGCCACGGCTCTAAAGTATTTTATTTTTCTAGTTCTAATCTCAGCAGGCTCAACAAAGTTATCTTCAAAAGAAAAAAGTCTTAATGAGTTTATAATTTACTTGCGCATTGCAATGAAAGAAAAAAAGTATCAAATCAATCAAATGTATGCAAAGTATCAAATCACTCGAATGTATCGAAAGTATCAAATCAATCGAATGGAAAAATTTTATAGCTTAAAAACTCTTAATACTCTTATGTGGCGGGATAGCTCAGATGGTTAGAGCATTAAAAGAAAAGTGAAATCCCGGACTGAACGAAATCCCGCCACCGCCAACTCAGCGCTTGAGTAGTACTTCGGTACGCAAAAATCTTGGTCAATAACGGACTCTACTTTGGATTAGTCTTAATGACTATTTGTGACTGTTCCTATGCTAAGCAAACAATATCTTCGAATATAAAAACATTGTATAGAAAAATATAGCATGAAAAACTTAAATAAATAAATAAATAATAATAATAAAAAAAATAAATAATACGAAAATAGTTAAAAGTATTTCTAAATTTTAGTTTTAATTCCTTATACTAGTTTGTGTGATGATTTTTCACATAAAAAAGTGTAACAAATTTACAATTCACTTATAACAGACAAAAAAATTTAATCTTAGTCAATAGAATAGATTGGGTCTAGGGGTCGTCCATAAAGTACGTTCGCTTTTTTAATCTTTTTTATATACGCTATTCAGAGACCCCCTATCTCTCCGAGCCTACGTACTTGTGTAAGAGTGGACGATCCCTACGAAAAAAAATTTCATTTTCCAAGAACTTTTGTAACCACAGCGTAGGAGTACAGAACTAATAACCATTTTCAAAATTATTTGAAAACAAATATGGTGTATTTGCACATTGCCTCTAATTTAATCATATATGTAACTTTCATCAGTGTCTCCTGTCATCATTAGACCTTAAGAAGAGCTCTATATATAAATTAAGAAATTATAAAGCAAAAAATTAGTCAGGGTATGTTCTAGATTAATTGGCTTGTTTTTTATAGTTTTTAATGGGTAGCTAGGTATTCTTAATGCTAAAATAATTAAAAAAACTTGCCTACCCACCCAAAGACGAAGCCTAACTTTTGGCTCACTATCAAGAAGTTTTAGAAAAAAACTTTGCAGAAATGTTGTTGAAATCTGTACTCCTTTTTAAGTTTATTACTAACCCTTTAACAGTCCATGCCATATTACACATACTCAAAGTGGTTTCCAAATGTCCATGCCATAATATTATGGTTTTAAGCATCTCCTCATATATCCTTCTTGTTTATCTATCTAATCATCACAAAATTTATTACTACATTATTACAGAGCTTTTCTTTCAATAATTCACTTTTACACATGTTCACTTTAATTTTAAATAAGGCAGATAAAGAAGTTCTTAAACTTGAATAGTAACAGTTTGTAGTTTTCAATAGTGTTGAAAATACTAAGAAACTTTTTATTATTTATTAGTAAAAAAAAGCACAATATTTTTCAAAAACACATGACTTTTAGAGACCCCTTCAAAAAAGAAGCAGGACTAATAGTAACCGTAATTTAAAATAAACATAAGCCTGTTAAGGGTTTAATCAATAATCTTTTACCTTTTATAGTCTAACTGGTTATATAAAAACAAAGTTTTGATTATGGCTTATGAGATAAAGGCTAAAATAATGTTTAGAAGGTTTTCTGATGAATAATTGTTTGCAAATAAAGAGAAGTAGTTATTAAGTAAGAAGACTTCTTTTTTGTCGTAATAGTCCGATTATTTAGGAGTAAATAAATGTTTATAGTAATATTTATTTTAATGATTTTATATTTATTATGTTTTTATTCCATTTTGAGTGTTTTTATATCAATGTTTTTACAAAGGAAATTTATCACAGAAAAAATTGTTAAAAATTAAAATTAACATAACAAAAAAATGCTTGCAAAGCAAGTATTCTTTTGTTAAGTTGCTGTAGGCGGGGACTTGTTTAATTATCAAACATGTTAATTTGGGTGTTTCTTATCATCTGCCATATATACTTTGGAAGGGTGGTTAAATTTTTCAACTTTTTGTTTGTGAATGAGTGTTTGTGGTTAGCTCATCTTTTTTTCCATTTACCTTCTGCTAGGCCAATATATATTTTTTCTGAAGTGTTAGGGGGTTGCTATACATTTAGGGGTGATACTATACATTTATAAATAACATTAGAGGCTCTACATTTTCCTATTATAGGACAGTTTTCTTTATTTATGCAGTTACAGGGTAGGTATTCTTTGGTTCTTTCTGAAATAATTTTATTGTTGTGGCTTTTATTATTCTTTCGATATTTTTGGTGCAGCTGTAACTCATTTTGATGGTATTTTTATTGAATAGTTTACTTAGGGGGTGGGATGCTGGAAAATTTCGATTAAGTTTAGGAAGATATGTATGACATTTGTAGAAACACTTTTACTATACGAGGGGTCGAACCATGTTATATTTCTTTTTCTCTTCTTTTTTTTTTTGTGTGTGTGTGTGGGGGGGGGGGGGGATTATACTTTAAATCAAAACTAATGAAGTTATTTCTTCTTAATTTATATTTGTATCATAATTTATATTTGTATAATTTATATTTATGTATAATTTGTATAGATAAATTAAATGTTTTTCATTTATTTTCAATATTTTAACACAATAGTGCTAAAATATTAAAATTTATAATTAAAGTAATTTTTTTTAAATTAAAAGAAATTATTTTGTTTATTGTTTATTTTGTTGACTAATTTTTTTACTGAATTTCTTTAGTCTACCTGGGAAGAGACACATCTTCAGTTAGTCTTGATTTGGTAAAATTGTTATTTTTCTTCTTATTTTTTTTAATTATAACTATAACTGATGAATAAAATTAAAAAAGTAATAATAGGGTTGATGCTTAAATTCCTTGGCAGTTGCTTCATGACACAGTTAAATGGGTTTGAGGTTCTTATTCTCCCTAGTGTATAGAACTACTGGGCTCAACCTGTTTTTCTGTAAAGCTGTTTTGTTTAACAAGCTCATCTACTTTAACTACAATTAAATTTGTGTTTTATATCAAATTTTTATCTGCTATGTAAGTTGCCTTAACCTCAGCATCAGCAAATATCTATATAAAAGCTAAAAGATTTTAAAATTTGTCAAATTCATTATAATTCCATAATAAGAAAAATATATTAGAAAAAATATACTTAGCAATATTTTAGGAATTGTCAAAAAATTATTATTTGTTGTAATTGTCAAAAAATTATTATTTGTTGGATAGTCAAAATATTAGAAAAGATAAATCTGTACTAACTTTGTTATTAATAGATAAAATTTCTTATGAGATTCCCTTTTTGTTAGTAATATATTGATTTTTAATAAGTTTTGTAAGTACTTTTTAATACTTTTTAATTGTTTGGTATTATTTGAATGCTTTTTGTATTATCAATTTTTTCATTGTCTTTGAAAATATTTCTGCGTTTTTTTAAATTTCTCTTTTTAATATTTTGTGTAAGACAACCTTCAGATACTATACATATGCATTCATAGACAGTTGTTAGCAAAATAAAAACAAATAACTCAGAAGAACAAAGAATTTTTTTTTTTTAATAAACAAAAAATACTTCTTAAGTTTTTAAAAAGTTTTTCAAAAATGTTGTCAACATAGGGTTACCTTGCTCTTATGACTCCTCAATGTAAGCAGGCTATTTTTTTGCAACTAAATTTTTTTCTGTTGTGATGACAGTTATAAAATAAAATTTAAAACAGATATAATACAATGACTGTATTATACCTTTGTTTTGATCTGACAAAGTCAGAGATCTGAATAGGATATAGTTTGTCTAATAAAAAATGGTAATAATATATTTCGATGTCTAATAAAAAATGGTAGTAATAAATTTTGTAATAAAAAGAATCATGCATATTATATATATATATATATATATATATATATATATATATATATATATATATATATATATATATATATATATATATATATATATATTATTACTTATATTGCTTAATTTTGTTATATAATTTCATTATATGTTTTATAATGTTATTATATGTATTAATATTATATAAAATATTATTTCAGTTTTTAAAATCTTAAAAAATTTATTTTAACTAATTATTGCGGATTTTGTTATTATTTGTTATCTTTTGTCTTATTGTTTTCAGGTGTGATATTTTATCAAAGTTTTTTACTTTATGTTTTATAAAAAATAAAAAAGTTATTGTTTAAATGTTTATGATTTTAGGTTTAATTTTAGTTTTTGTTTGTTATTTAATATTTTTTTGTTCAAACAGATAAATTGTGCAATTCATGATGACACATTTATGTGTGTTAGAGAGGCTTGTGAGGGGAAGTCATTTCCGAGTCGCTTATGGCATTTATTATCTAAAAACCATGAATTGAATAAATACATACATTGGAGTGAAGATGGAAACAGCATTATAATACCGTGCGAGGTGTATTTTTATGAAAAAGTTTTGCATAGAGCAAATCATAAAATTTTTAAAACTACAAGTATGAACTTGTTTTTGAGACAATTAAACCTATATGGATTTAAAAAAATCAAAATGGGAAATGATGCTTTGTTCTTTGATCAGGAGAAAAATTCATGGCCTGAAATGGTTTTTCAACATCCAGATTTTAAAAGAGGACAGCCTATGCTCTTAGGTAGGTTTAATTGTTTTTTAAATTTACCATTATGGAAAAATTTTTTTTTTCTGCGAAGCAAAGGTAAAAAAGATTTTTAATGTTAAAAATGTATTTATATTTTGTATAAATGTGTTTATATTGACATTGACATGCATTGACAGTGATAACCTTTTCATACTTTGTTTTAATTTAAAATGCATAATTGAAATTTTTTTGTAAATTCTTTTTATATTACATTACTTGTGAGTAAAAATAAAAACGAATAATTAAATCCAGTATGTAATGATAAATTTAATTTCATGGTCTCTTTACAATTGGCCTTAGTAAGTGACCGGCAAAACTATAAGATTTAGCAGGGGTTGATAGCCAGTGCTAAGAAAAAATTTATAATAAATTTATTCGTATATTTTGTATTTTTAAATACTGGGATAAAATATGGATATATTTGCATATAAAAAAATATGTTTACTATTTATTTATGAGCTAACATAATAAATCCTTACCTATTTATACAAACTTAATGATTATATCAAATATCATTTGCCTTAAAAACATTAAACATTTTGCAGTAATATTACATTTTTAGTAATTTTAAGCCGTTCAACATGAATGAAACAACAAATTTTGTTGTTGTTTCATTCATGTTGTTTTTATTGTTGCCTTCATGTTGCAACATGAATGTAGCAATGAACTGAATTTTGTATTGCTGCATCCATTGTGCAACTCAAATGAAACAATCAACTGAGTTTGTATTGTTGCATTCATCATTGCAACATCAATGAAATAATGAACTGAGTTTGTTTTATCGAAGATGGTAAAGATGTTTTTTTATTTTAACTAAATTTTTTCCTTAAAATAAGCAAAAGAATGTAATGTTCATAGATGAGTTTTTTCTGGGAATTTCCTGGGTTTCCAGAAATTCGCTCTAAACTCCTTTCATTTTCAAGAAGTTTCCGAATGTTTTTTGTTATTAATTTGAAAAAAATTATATAAAATTTTAAATGCAACAACTTTTGCATTTAAACAAATATGTTTTCTATAATTGAAATTTTCACAAAATCAATTTTTGTTACAATTTTTTTTTCTTGTTTTTTTAGTTTTAATTCATTCAAATTAGCTTTTTTAAATATTAGAAATTCCTTTTTGTAAAAAGTTAAATATTCTAAATTTAGTTTTAAAAGTTTACAAAGTTTTTGTCGTCAATTAATACAATCAAGAAGAAAAAATTATAAAATGGAAGTTAAGAGTTTATTTGACATTTTTGAGACAAAAATATTAAAAACAAATTCAGCTGGAATTGGGTTCAAGAGAAAGATAATAGTGAAGAGTGTTATTCAGGCTATTATTTGAATTTATCAAGGCATGGTAACTAGTCCTTACATTGAGCAATCATTCAGCATGATAAACACCATAGTTAACAAAACAAATTGTCTTGATACTTCCACTTACTCTGTTATAGCTTCAGTTAAGTATCAATTATTAGCAAACAAGACCACAGCACTAGGGTACTTTAGAAGACAAGATATGTTACAGTTAACAAAAATATTGGTGGTCATTTGCAAACTGCAAGCAAGCGTTTTTTTAAAAAAAATGAAATTCCATTGGAAAAACAGAAAAGTTAAAAGAACATTTTTATATTATAAATTCAATATTTAAAAAAAAGATCACCTCACATGAGCGTTGCGAAGCATTTAAAAAATTTATTAATGATTATGCAAAAAAAGTGCAGAAAAAGAAAAGCTGAGGAATGTTTTGCAGCAGAAAGTTATAATAATAAAAAGTAATAATTTGTGAACCATTGTCTGACATTTTATATTTAAAAAGTAAATGAACTATTACGCTTTGCAGATTGTTTACTCTTCGCAGGTTGTTTACACTTTGCAGAATGATTACAATTGTTTATTACATTTGGTTTTAAATAATTTTAGGGAAACATAATTATTCAGTAGTTTTTAGTTACTTTATTTATCCTAGTGTTCCAGAATTTACCAAATACCTTCGTCAATTTGTTGACTGTATAATTTTCTGAGATTTTCCGGATTTTTGATTAAAATATTTCAGGATTTTTATAAAGTCAAAAACTCTTCTATGAATGTTGTTTAACTGTTATTCCAAAAGAATCCTTGTATTGGATCTTGAATAAAAAAGTTGTAATTTTCACCTGTTTTTTTCAAATTTAGTAATGGGTCAGTTTATTATATTTTAATCCATGAACCGCGGGAAACCTTCTCTAATTGTCCTAATTTTTACCTATCCTTATATTTATTATGTATATGGATTAATTTGGAAATTTTAGATTTCCATGTGCAACAGTTTAGAAATTATAGGGTTATAAATGTGACACAGTAGCTCACCTCAATTTATAAATCCTTGAAACAAAATATTTTAAACCCTTGTATCTTTTTTCTAACTTATATCAAGGATCTCATTTTTTCTAGAAAATAAATTAAATGTAGTATTTCTACTCATCAAGTCTTTATATCTATAATAAAGGGACAAAATATAAGCAGCTGGTTGCAGTATAGAACTTAAATATATATAAAAAATACCAAGTCCATTTATATTAAAAGTCTGATTTTCAGCCATTCTAAGTTTGTAAATTTTTTAAACACTTTTAATCTAAGTTTAACAGCAAATAAAGTTTAACAGCAAATAAGACCATTAGACTCAGATCTAAAAAAGGAAACATTTGACTAACAGGACAAACAGCTATCTAAAAAGGCAAACAAACTTCTTATGTTTTCATCAAAAATATTTTAATAATTTTTTTTAAATTAACAAAGGCTAAATTCATTATTGGAAAACAGTGCTCTGCAAATCTGTCTAGTGGCCTATGTGAGGGAACCAATTATGAGTCACTTTAAAAAAAAAAAGATTTGTTAGTTGCGCCAAACAACTTTTATTATTAGTTTGGTTTTTACTTTTTTATTGATAATTAGTTGATAATTGAAAACAATTGATATATGAATATTCGTAACCCCATGCTTTTTTCTCAATGCCATGCAATTTTTCTTTAAATGTTATTATTACAATTGAAGAGAATGTTGATAACTAGTTTTTACTTATTTGAAAATAAGCAAAAATTTTTAAATCGTAGTTGAAGTTATATAGCTGGAGTCATTTTGAAACCTCCATATTCACTTACTAAATTGATACAATTTATTAGTTTAACAGTAAATTTATAAATATTAGCCTAACAAGTATAGAAAAAAAAACATGTTTAAAAATAACTAGTTTTTTAGTCTTCTGATAAATTTTTTTTTTGTTACATAAAAATAGTTACTTGTTATTTATGAATTTTTGTGTTTTTGTTGTAAATTAAAACAAGTGTACATTAATAGTAAAGTATAAGAAGCAAAAGGTTTAAAGAGTTTTATATATTTGAACTGGTAAAAAAAAGAGTCATCTGTTTTGTTTCATTTATAAAGATATGGTCTGTCTAAAATCAATTTAAGTTGCACATGCTACTTCTTTGATACAAACTTGCTAAATCATGCTTGCTATACAAGCTATATACGCTATATGCTACATCTTACAAGCTTACTATACAAGTTACATACGCTATATGCTATATTGTGCTTGTTATGCAAGTTTACTAAATTTTTATGAATTTAAATTTTTTTTTCAAATAAAATTTTTGTAGTCAAAATATTAATCAAAGCTGAAGTGTTACTCAAAGCTGAGGTGTTACTGGATCTTAGGTGTGACTCAAAGCTGCATAAAGTAAATTGAATGATCCATTTATATCCAGTTTTAATTACTTGGCTATATTAGAGATTTAAATTATAATTTATATAATATATGTAAATTATAATTTATATAATATATGTAAATTATAATTTATAAATTAACATTATATGACTAAAGTATGTTTATCTTTAAATTTAAGTTTTTGATTTTTTTAGATCGCATTAAAAGAAGATGCAACGTAAAAAAAAATCGAGGGAAGAAACTGTTTCAACACACAGACGTCAATCCATCCTCTTTATATTTAGCAAGTAAATCTAGTCAGTTAAAAAATTTCATCGTGAGATGTGTCCCTCATGGTATGTTAAATTCTATACTTGTATTAACGTAGACTTTCTATGAGAATGAAAAGAATTACTTGAATTACTTATTTTTCTTTTTTAAAGTACTGTTTATTGCTATTTTTTATTATAATTGTTATATACTTAGTTGCTAATGTTTTATATATTATAGCCTCTACATTATTATCTCTCATCTCTTTAAATTTATTATTATTTTAAATTAATATTTACAAGCTATATTTTATCTAACAAACTTGGTTATTATGCCATCTAAGTATATTCCATTTGGCTCACTTTCTGACTTAAAATTTTGGTAAAACTGATTTTTTTAAAGTTTTATTAAAACTTTAAGTAACATCACACTAGTATACTAATTTACTATATTCTCTTGACACTATATCAAGTCCACAAAATACAGTTACAGGTCTAAATAATCTCCATGGTTCAATTAATAGTTAATACTATGACACCATAGATTTCAATAAAAAAATTAATCCTAATTCAGATATTTATATTCATCTCTACATTGCTTCCTTACTCTATCACATTAACGATCTTTGCAGTTTTATTAGCACTCTTAATACATTACTTGTGGCAATAGGTATTACTGAGTCAAATTTATATGTAAATGAAACAAATATAACAAGCATATCTGTAAATGGGTTTAGCATTAAGCATTGCTCCACTGAGTCTATTTTAAACTACACAGTTTAAAGTAGAGTTTAGATATAGAAGAGCTAGAGATCTACTCTTAGTCTTGAATCCATTTTTACTGAAACTATAAAGCTTTACTTAAAAGATATAATAATTGGTTGCATTTATCGACATCTCTCTATGAATCAAGACAATCTCACTGCGAATTATCTCCACTACCAATGCTAATTTTTTAACTCTAATTTTAGATTTATTTTAAAAAAAGTATTTTTCTTATGGGGGATTTCAATATGGTTATACTAAGATATAATAATATTATACATAATTTATAGCAAATGCTTAAACATTTGCAAACAGGGCAACTAATGAAGCCCTGCTATGATAAATGTCAATTTGTTTTGTTTTTAATTAAATGTTTTGAAAAAAACAAGTCAAGTTGACTATTAAAGGTGTTTACTGATGCAACAGATATGATGGAGTTTGGAAGGATGTTCCAGTTAGGTACTATGCAATTACAGAAGAAGAATTCTCTTTGTAAACAGTTTACTACTGCTTAACGTTGGTGATGATGGTGTTGGCCACGGAGGTCGTACGCTGGTCCTTGCATGTTTAGTGCTGGAGCTAGTGAGTTTGGTTTACAAAGCTCAACTTTGTTAATGCTTTGGTATAGTTTGAAAAACTGTATTAGGTCACCCACACAATGAATCAAATCCTATATCTTTTTATTACACCCTGTTATAATTCTACCAATACGCCTAACAGCTAAATCACAGATACTTATTAGTAACATTTTTATAAACTTCAATGCACCTGACCAAATCTCGGGCAATCTTACCATTTAAATATCTGATCATATGGTGCAATTTATCTGCATTCCTAGAAAAACTAACCATCCACAATAAAAGTACATATTACAGGTGATACTTAAAGAACTTTAACAAAAAAATATTTATTGAAGATTAATTTAGACTTCTTTATTAAAAAAGATAGTAATGTAAATCAATCTATCTGTTTTCTTTTCAAGACATTTGAAAACATATTAGACCAGCATGCTCCATACAAAAAACTAACTAAGCAGTAAATTAAACTTAAATCAAAGCTATGGATCACCAATGGTATACTTAAATCTATTTCCGTTAAAAGCAAACCATATCAAAAATGCACAAAATGTAGAGATTTAAAATGAACTGTTTCCTTAATTTAAATTTTATAGAAACAAAATCAGCAATCTTTCAAAAATTAGTAAAAAATCATATTAAACAACCTATTTTAGTAAAAACCTAAACAACATTAAGAATACTTGGAAAGGGATGCAAGAAATCATTAATATAAAACCTTCCTACTTCCTACTACTAAAGTTCAACTCTCAAACTTAAATTGAAAAAAAATATCATCACAGATCAAACTACTGTATCAAATATATTAAACAGCTTTTTTATTACTATTTAAAACAAACTTCAAAATAAAATCATACCTTCAACATCCAAATGTACTATCTCAACTCTACATATTCTCTACATATAATTCGTTCTTTATTGACCCTGTCATAGAGAATGAATTCTCTTATCTTATTAAAACCAACCTTAGAACTGGAAAAACCTTTGGTCCTAATAGCATTCCTACATTCCTTCCTAAATATAATTTCTAAGCCTCTCAGTATTACTATAAATAACTCATTTCAAAACGGTATATTCCCAGATGCTTTCAAAGTTGATAAAGTCATTTCAATATTCAAAAAACAATCTACAATGAATATGTTTAACTACTGACCTATCTCTCTTCTTTCTAACCAAAGCAAACTCTTTGAAAAAGCTATGCATAAGAGGCTCTATGTATTTTTGAACAAATTTAAATGCCTTTACAAACACCAGTATGGATTTTGTGCGAATCATTCCTCAACCCACTCACTTTTTAAAATTACTGAGTTGAAAAGCTTTTGATGATGAAAACTTTTGCATGTGGTGTCTTTGTAGATCTATAAAAAACTTTTGATACAGTAGATCATACTATCCTACTCAAGAAATTTGAATGTTATGGGATCAGAGAAATACTTCTTAAATGGTTTACTTCCTATTTCACAATAGATATCAGTTTGTTTCAGTCAATGACTCAAAATTTACTCAAATAAATTGTTTTAACAGTGTCCCTCAAGGCTCAATATTAGGACCACTATTTTTTCTTCTTTACATTAATGACCTATATAACTCAATTAAGTTTGCAACTCCTTACCTCTTTGCTGATGATACTAACTTGCTCATTATCAACAAATCTTTAAAAAAAATTAACAATTATATTAATCATGATATTGCCAATCTAGTTAAGTGGCTTTACTCAAATAAGTTTTTTTTCAACTGTAGCAAAACTGAACTAGACATATTCAAATCTAATAAAACAAAAGTCAATAAAAATTTAAACTTTAGATTTAGTGGCCAGAAAATCATTTCCGTAAACTCAATCAAATATCTTATAATTGATTCGAACCTATTGTTTATATTTCATCTTAAAGACTAAGCCATAAAATTAAACAGATCAAATAGAATGCTGACTAAAGTTCGCCATTATGTCAATCTTAAAACACTATTAAATATATATCATGCCATTTTTGGCTCTCATATATGATATGCTTGTTAAATATGGGGACATCTCAACAGCAAGCAATTTTATAAATATCCTGTCTTCAAAATAAAGCTTTGGAACTAATAACATTTCAGAATCACAAGTTCAATCCTAATTTGCTTTATCTTTGCTAAAATCTTGGAAAAGCCTTCCCTATGACCTGAAAGCTTTCAGGATTCTTTACTTTTAAAATCGTAGATTCAATCTATGATTTTAAAAGTAACTGATTCCACTCCTTCCTATTCAAATAAAGTTAATAAATCCAAAGATATGTGTATCTGTCTATATGTGTTTGTGATAAGTGCATGTGAATAAGTGTGAGTATTAATGTATGTATGCATTTTATCTTAGTTAAAAACAGTTATATTATAGTTAAAAAACAAGACCAATCAATTTTTTAAATGTATTTTAGTTTTAATTAAAGCTCAAACAATAATTTAGTCATTAAGTTTACTATTGATCTTTTAGCCAATCGTATTTCCTCTTCCTTTTAGCAGCCAATCATATTTCTTATTCCTTTTAGCAGCCAATCATATTTCCTATTGCATTATTTATTTGATTTGTTATAGATATTTGATTTGACAATATTATAAATTTTTTTCTAATTGTATTTCCTATTGCATTATTTCGATTATTTTTTTTTTAATTATCATTTTTTTACAAAGGTCTTACTTGATATTTTTTCACATATTAAATTTTTTATTGAAAATTATTAAAAAAAATTAGAAAAACCCAGTTATACACTATTTGTTTAACTAGTTTGAGAATAAAATAAAAGTGGTATATAAGAAATATTATTTAAATGTATTAAAGTGCACACCATCATAAATTCACATATTGAACAAAATTTATAATTTTTTTTTCTAGTTAATTATAATGTTGCCATTCCGAATCTGTTGGTAATAAATAAATTCTGACTCGTGGTTTGATTTAAAAAGGGCCCAAAAGGAAACCCATAAAAAATCTTTTTTCTAAAAAAACATATTACATATTAAATTTTTTTTATTTTAATTTTGTTTTCTAATTGTACTTTAGGAGTTGCATTAAAAGGAAATAAACAAAAACAAAAAAACAATGCATTTTTTGAATAATTATAAAGAAAAGTAATTTTGGGGCAGTGGCTCATCTTGTGTCTATCTGGGACCGCTTGATATTTATAAAAAATTTAAATATAAGTTTAAAATGACTGCAATGGTACTAGCAAAAAAGTTATGAAGCAATTTTTACATATAAATTTTTATTTCTTATTTTATGGTCTAAAACCTGTAAATCTGAATTAGTAATAAAAAAAAAATTGCAAATTATTTTAATAAGATTATTCATATAAGCCTTTTATGATAAATGTTTATGTTTATGTTATTTTACTTTTATGATAAGTGTTTATGTTATTTTGTTTTTATGATAAGTGTAGCTTTATACCTTTGTTAAAATATAATAATCCAAAAAGGCTTTTTAACTGTATCTAAAAGTTCATCATATCAATCAAAAAATCTTAAAGTTTATCGTGAATCATTAATTTGTTGATTATGTAATATATATATATATATATGCAATTTTTAAGTTATGTGAAATAATTTTTAAATTTTTGATTACTATTTGTAGTATAGTCAGCATTTAAAAAAAAACATTGTTTTTTTTTATTTGAAGTTTGCACATATATTATATGCAAAAAGTGAACTTAGTAAGAATTGCTTCATTGTCAAAATAGCAGTCCAGACGTAATGATTTTTCTGGACGTAATGATACTT